TCGTTGCTTATGCCTTTGTTGTCGTTTGGAACCAGTTTTGCGAGGTAGGCGACGATTGTGCGTATTTCTCGCGTAACTTTTGAAAAGGGCCTATTTATAGCCTGAACAATACGTAAAGAGCAAATTGAAACATTGAACGTCGCGTGAAAGTGGAACTTAATGAAGGCCTAAGTACTTTTTCGTAGTTTTTAGTTTTCGGATTTGAGAGATCGTCGGTTACAGTGGCCTGCTTACTGAGCAGGAAAACGCGGTCCCAGGTCCTTACATATCAAAGAGATTTATGGTAAAATCGCTTGTGTATCGTGTATTTTGCGAAACTCGTTGTTGTCGTTAGTTCCGGGTTTGAATGGATACAAAAATTTGAGCAACGGTATTATGTGATATGAGGGGCTCGTTGGACTTAGAGCAACAGTTTTTGCTTACTGAGCAGAACATCATGAGTCTAATCTCAGGCCCATCGACATTCAAGATTCGTCAATCCTTTTATTTGTTAAAATGACTACATGGTAATAACAGCAACTCGGTGATTAAAAAGGTGCTCGTCTGCCTAGTGGCAAACGTTTTTGCTTACTGAGCAGAAGACCGTGGGTTTAGTCCCAAGCTCCTTCGCGTTATATGATCGTTAGGACATCAATTCAGCTTATCGTTTACCAAAACGAACCCTGCTGCAAACCCAACCCTCTTATCCAACATCCCAGTGATTCCTCGTGGAAGTGCAGAGGTGTTCTCGGCTTCCATCAAAACGAGTGTCATGTCAACACAATCCTTCCCAATCCTTTCTTGACCTGTGTTCGGGCGCGGCCGGCGCTGGTATTGCCTAATTTAAGATCACCAGTTTTTACACATTGAGGATGATTGCTAGTCCCAAGCATTATCTATTGGTTCTCTGTGTAATTACAGCTGATCTGGCAATAACAGAGTAGCAACCGTGGGCGGTCAATCAAGCTCAAGCTCAAGCTATGGCTTGATGAAGCTGGGCTTCATTGAACTTAACGTCACGAGCAATTACAATTTTACGTAGGTCCTTGTTCCACAGCCGGTATCCGTTAGTGGCTTAACCGATCATTATCAGCTCACTACTTTTAGGGACTAACTTTTTGCGTTGCTGAGCGGGATTCCAAGCAAACCAAATACTCTAAACTTCTCCAGATTAGGCTTTTTCTTCCTCCAGCATTCCGCAGGTGTTGAACTTCTTGATAAGGCAGCAGTCGGACTTCTGTTAGGCAAAAATACACCAGTCAGCCTAAAGCAATGATATCATGGACCCAAAGGTCAGGACCAATAGCGTGGAAGGAATTTATCGAAAAATCATGGTTCTCGGTAATAGAATGGAAGTGCACGCAGTAGTAGCATAGAGGTAACTCTAAGACCACTGGGTCCCGAAGAAAATCATTATTATTTTTGGCTCACTCAGTACCAGAACAACGGTCCCAAGCAGTCCCAAGCTATTTCACTCACCCCTGCATGTTCTGCATAAATCCACACACCCCTGATGTTATCTGTCAAACTTTCATAGCGAATCAAAACAAACATAGTGTAGTAATAGAATTTCAACTAGAATAGGGTACGTTAATCGTTTGCTTGGGACCAATAGGCTACTAAAGTGGTGAGCCAATTTAAAATCGTTAGTTTCGTATTGATTGTTGGTAGTAGGTTTTTTAGATTTGTGGGTAGTTATATTTTTGAGTGCATGGGGGAATGCTGTCGGTTTGTTTACCAACAATAGCTGACGTTTCGTTTTAACCTAACTTTTTTCCTAACCTGAATTCAGAGCTAGGATTAATGTCATTGTTGATGTTGATCAAAATGGAATCAGTTTTATCACTTAATTGTTGGGGGTCCAACTAGAAATCATGCAAGGTGGACCCAGGTACGATCCTTGTGTAGCGAGGACCGAATGGACCAGATCCCGCCAGTCAGATGATTGTCCGCGGGAAGATTGTTCAAAGGAGGATTGTTTGAAGGAGAATTGTCTGCTACCGACGAGTCAAGAGGTACGTGGAGGAAGAAAATTATCCGGAACTCTGAAGCTCTTTATATGTTCCAGGGGGAACGATACATTCGATACATATCCCCATCAAATTTATCCATAAAATTCTGCTTATATATCCAGAACATCAGTCGGAACTTTTTTTCTCCAGACATCCTTATTCGATTTTTTGTCTACTTTTCAGTATATCCTGAATATCCCTGTTGATCCTTCTGCCTATTCCGAAAATTCTTTCAATTCCGCTCGCATGCCGTCACAGTGTTGCCATATCTTTTTTGAAGCAACATGCATCAGGATGAGTGTCGTTCCCCAACGTTTTCCTTGAACGTCATTGATTGTCTCTGAAGATCTTTCCTGGAACTATCTTCCTGCGGACAATCGTCCAGTGGACAATCTTCTTCTGAACAATCTTCCTGCGGACAGTCCTCCTTCGAACAATCCTCCTGCGGACAATCCTCCTCCAAACAATCTTCCTGTCAACAATCTTCCTGTCAACAATCTTCCTGCGGACAATTCTCCTGCGGACAATCCTTCTTCGAACAATCCTCTTTCGAAGAATCCTCCCGCGGACAATCCCCTTCCTCTGGATAATCTTTCTCCTCGACTCGTCGGTAGCGGACAATATTCCTGCGGACAATCCTGCTGATAATCCTCCTTCGAACAATCCTCCTCCGAACAATCTTCCTGCGGACAATTCTCCTTCGTACAATCTTCTTGCGGACAATCCTCCTCCGAACAATCCTTCGAACAACCTTCTCCCGAGCAAACTTCCTGTGGACAATCCTCCTTTGAACAATCTTCCTGCGGACAATCCTTATTCGAACAATCTTCCTGGGTACAATCGTTCTTCGAACAATCCTCCTGGGGACAATCCAAATATATGATGTTCAAGGGCCCTGGAGCTAATGAACTATTAGATTAGATAACTATTTTAACTAGTTCCGCTTTTTTTTTGTTAGCATCCATGCCTCTCACGCCAAAGTCACGAGTTCAAATCTCAAAATGGCGAAACAAAAAGAAACGTGCTAAGGGATATGACACACCTCAATCTGACTGCCACGGCAGCGGGTACCGCGCTTTTTTTTTTTGCTGGCAGTTGTGCTGTCTGTGTCACTTTTGACACCTGTTCTGGTACAAATTGCTGTCTTTTGCTCTAGTACCGGGTGCACCAGGTACACTAAAAAAACAGCTAGGTGAACCAAAAAAAAATCGCGTGAAGGAGGTCCTTACCCTTTGGGTCCATGGTTTCAACATCTTCATATGCTACTATGCATAGTTTCATCCAATGATTGCTTCGTTTCGCAACAGTTTGTTTGTAAACATCGGCATAATCATATAGAGCTTTTTGAAGTTTAGTCGGCACACACTAATGCCATAGAGGTTACTCTAAGACCAGAAGGTCCCGAAGAAACGTGTTCAACTTTTTGGCTCAGCTCTGGTACTCTCTTCGGTCACAAAAGCTAATCGATGCACCCCTCGAAACATAGGAAAATCCACTAACCCTGCATTTTATCTGTCAAACTTTAATAGCGAATCAAAACATACATTGTGTAGTACTAGAATTTCGACTAGAATGGAGTAGTGAGTTTCGAATTGATTGCTACTAATGCGCCATTTAAATTGAAGGAGTTCGAGAAAGAGGGAAACATATTAGTGGGAAAACAAACCATTCATTCATCGCTGTGTACTAGATAGATAAAGACAATTAAACGTCTATGGTTGAACCACAGACTAACAGACACGCAAGTTGTACATCGAACAAGCATTTAACGGACAACGATTTACATAGTTGAAGGTGCTAATTTCTGGAGTGCGGTAAAAATCGGTAGAACTGTTTCAAACACATCGTCGGTACATGAGCGGTCGGTGATCATCTCTTTTTGCCAGTGGTGGCGGGGGGGGGGGGAGACACCCCTCACCATCCCTCTCCAAAGGGGGAGTTTGGTAAAGAGAGATGATAGAACTATCAATTCTATACTTTCATCTCCTCATCTATCGTATAAAAAATTACCACTTTAGTCTGTTTTCTGAAATTAGCATCTTCAACTATGAATTTCTTGTGTTTATGCGGGAAAAAGCATCGAAAGTAGAGCTGGTGGCTATTTTCACCATCACAATCACATTTTTTGATGATCATCATTGATGACACCTTCTGAGGCTGACATACTTATTAACGGTTAACGACCATAATTGGCTACTACACAAGCAGCAAGTTGGGTTACTAATAGCCTTAGTCTCTCAGCTTATTCCCATATTACGACGCAGTGTTCAGGCCGTAAACGTCGTACATTCCAAACACTTCTCAACACACAGTCAGAGTCATCGGACAGGTCAATTATAACAGTATTCGATCTAAATGTATGGATTATATCCCAAATACGTATACCGCGGAACCGTTATTTCCGCTCTGTGTTAGCTTTACTGCGGATGTGTATCCGCAGCTGACCGAAGCCGTGGCAAAATCGATTCGTTCCTGTTCCGTTTGCTGAAAGTCATTCTCCACTATTCGCGAGTGTAAATCTACATACAAATCGTCATAAACGATGGTTTACTCTGCTCTCTTTTTCCGTTCGTAATGTAAATTAGAATTCAATATTCGATTCAATGCTTCTGTGCACCGTCTCCTACCTAAAGCTGCTATACATGATATGGATATGTGGATGGATTCACGCTCGATTTAAATATTCAAATGCGTCGTCGTCGTTCTCTTTGTATCCTACACTCTTGCTCCGCGGCTACAGTTTATTTTTATTTTTACCCCGTTTGCGTCGATCTTTTGGCTTGGTACGACGCTCTCTCCACTCCACAGTGCGTTGGCTGGAAGTACTCTCATATGTGAGAAATGCGCCCCGCATCTCACTCCTCAGCGTCGACGACATCGCGTCAAACGAATCACACGCGCTTAAAGCCACTGGCCGCCGCGGTGCTTGTTGCGTTTCCGCTCGTCTCGGTCGTCAGACTGCGGGGAGAGTTCGGCGCTGTGGTTAGTCCGTACTCAGATTCCGCCGCGAGAGCATCGTTCGTAGAGCTCGAACCGAGAGTGCGTGTGATTGAAAACAACAATAAATATAACATTATACACTATACCTAAGATGGCGCCACGGTTTCCGTGGCAACGACGTCGGTGGCCACTGCTGGTGCTGCTTCTTCTCGTCGGGCGCACTTGGACCATGGCCGTCGATCAGGATGCCACCTGTAGCCACCTGGACCGGTGGCAGTACGGCTCGGAGCAGGACCCCTCCGAGCCGATGATTGAGGAAGAGTTCCGCGGACAGGTCACCGTCCTGTACAGCGTCGCACCGCCGAAACCCTTCCTGACGCAGCGCATCTTCAAGGAACGGGATCCGATCTTCTACAACAAGATCCACTACGACGAGCAGATTCAACTGTAAGTTTTATTTTTATAAGGGTAATTGAAGTGTAACAACCTTCGCCATCAGTGAAAGATAGTCATTTCCCCATACTTCCGTTCGCAGCGCTCGTTCAGCTCGGCTCCCGTCGATGCATTGATGAATAGTAATCAATGACAATTAATGTAGAGCACTCGGTTCAATTACAACTGTGCTCGCGTTGTTCGCCGCTGCTATGCACTTGTCGCGTTCGACTGCTTCGAGGGAAAAAACTAACACAAACCGCTTGCTTCTGTTTTGAAAAACTGCAGTTATTTTTTTCTCGCGAGCATCCGTCTGTCTCCCATCATCAATGAGAACAAACTTTCGTCCAGAGAGAGAGAGAACGACGGTCGACGCTCTCACGCAATTTCAAAACAATAATATTGACTCGTGTCTCACCTCACGCTCGCACGCGTTCGAAATGGGTACTTGCGTAATGCAATCACTTTTTTTTTAACGCCCGTGTTTTGCATGGTGACAGACGACAACAGCTGATTGCGTTGCCATGGCGCAGAAAGAGGTTGACGATCACAGAACGTGTAATGATCCCCACACAAAAAAGATTGCCACTTTCCTTCGAGCCGGATTTGAACCAGCGACCTATGGATCACTATTTTCTCATCGGAACGATCATCTACAGTCCACCGCTCTACCAACTGAGCTATCGAAGGTTGATGAGGGTCGACTCTTATGAGTGGTACCAATTCTCTATGGCTTGACATGACTCTTGTCGCGAGAGTAAAAGTGGAACGGCGAATGAGAAGATCGCAAACAAAAAATCGATTCGTTCGCTCGATATAAATACGCTTTCCGCGTTTTTCTTATTAGAATAATCAGCGGGCCGGACAAGTGTTGCCGGTTTGACGGTCGTGGTTGGTGGTAGTGGATGGAAATGTTTTATAGAAATTAGCTAATATCGATTAAAATTTAATTGCCCTAATGATTAATGATTTATTCGTGATCGATAAATTACTCGCTTATCATTGCATTAATACCAGGATGGTTCGCTAGTGATATTCGATTTCATCACACCAAATTCGGATATCTTCTTCCAGCAAAATGGTTTGCTGAAAAAGGTTCAACAAAATTATATTTTTTTTTTTCTAAGATATCAGCAAACATATTTGTTATTGCTGAACACCCACACTGAACGAAAACACCCGCAATACTTCGAATGATTATTGCATTGCTCGAGCCCTTTGACAATATACTTTCGAATTTCGGATGATTTCCTTATGGTTCAATTCGTCATCAGAATGAGCATCCATATCATTGTAATCCAAATAAAGGATGGTATTTAATAATAATAAATAAATAATAAAGGATGGAGGACAACAATTTAATAATAGGATGACTTGTAAATGCTTTAAAGTAGATTTATAATTCGATTGTTTACATTTCAATATTGAATAGCCAAGAACAGTCATGATGATGAAAAAATCTAAAAAATCTTCACGTTCGATTTACGTGAAATATCACGTACCTGATCTGTATTTAGAAAATCTCAAATGTCACGTTAGTAACTTTGACCTGCATTACACGTCATGTCCACTAAAAATGTTGGTGAAATTGACCGTATATTCACGTAAACAGATTTAGTGTATTTGTGTTTGTGTGTTTGGGACTTTCGATATTTCCGTGAAACGAGAGTTACGTGATTTTCAGGTACGTAAAAAAATCAATATGGCGTCACCGAGCGTGGTGGAAGAACTCCTTAAAGATTCAAAATTCCTCAGTGCTTGCTGCAAATGTTGGTCGGTAATTAGATTCTTTTACATTAATTAATTAATGATTATATGTAGCCTTTTTCTAGTTTTATAAATTCAGACGGTGACATCAGCATTTTGAGTCTGCAAACAGGTGTTAATATTTTGAAAGAAATTAAAAAAAACGCATACAAGTTTCTACCTTATAATAATCAAATGGTCAATATTTTAGAATTTTATGAGTAGATATAAGTATTAATCTAAACACGTGAAATTTATATCTTCCCGATAAAATTGAATAATATTGGCTGCTTCTATATATACTTTCCATTATTCTCATTAAAAAATCACGTACAAACTACATGAAAAGTATTTTAAACAAAACGGAATGTCACGTAAAAGTCACCATATGTCCAGTAGTTTTCACCCCGATTTCACGTAAGCAGTACGTGGAAATCAGAACTTATTTACCTGACTAATCACGTAGATAATTGTAGCTGAATTTTGATCGGCTACGTGCAATTCCGGTAAAAGTTACGTGAAAAATAGGGTGGACGAAAACCACCTATGTTTTCACGTCAATCGGACGTGAAGATTTTTCAGAGTGATGGATACAAAAATCATGTGTTGCACTGCACCAAAACACCATTCTCTGTTGGAATGAAAACTCAGACTATTCAAATCTAAGCATCGAAATCTTTTTTTTTTTAATGATAGTTACAAGCTGAACTGGAGGATGTTTCCTCTACCAACGAACGATGTTTTTATGAAATGGCTGTTCAAATCTAATTTAAAGCATTTGTAGGTCATCTTATTCTTCAATTGTTTTCCTCTGAGCGCTGTAAACATAATAAAACAATACCATACCCTTCCACAAATTGCTTGCATGATACCCAAAGCAAAATAACCATACACATTTTATTAGGTTAGAGCCAATTTTCAAATAAATATTATCCTTTATTTGGATGAAAGTCATAGGAATTCTCATCAACTGATGACGAATTCAACCATAAGGCAATTATCCGAAATTCGAAAGCATATTGTTACACGAAACGAAAATCAATTATTTAAGTCATGTGTTTCACTTATACAATTTTGCCAAAGCATCAGCCTTATACATTCCATAAGACAAACCACATATGTCCTATTAGAATGCATAAAAGGTATGTGTGACCGCTTATACATTTCATTTGACACATGATCTTTATTAACTTTTTGCAAGGCGTCTGCTTATTAGTTGACTTATACAATTTATGAATAATCAGCAATGGAAATTTGCCAAAAGGTATAAGGAGATTTCTATCCGTGTAAAGGGCTCGAGCAATGCAATAATCATTCACAGTATTACGGATGTTTTCGTTCAGTGTGGTAGAGAAATCTTCCTCCACCACCACCGTATACTACCTCTGATAGCGATGACTAGTGGTTTCCACCTCGTTTGTCAGCTCAGATCAGCAAATGACGTTTCGGGTTTCGATAGAATTTATTTATATCATCGTTTTGGATGATATTTGCATCATGGGGCTAGCTGAACCGCAATACCATATGCATTTCAACGTATTTCAACGGAGGTTCGTTCGCTACCCGTATCAATGTTCAACGTGTATTCAAGAGGAGCATCATCTGACCACAAAACAACCGTCATCCCGTTGCAGCTATCATCCCGTAAAAAAACGGTTCCTTCGATTTGAATGGTCTGAGGTGTCATTCGAACAGATGATGATCTTTTGGTACAGTGCAGTTTATCCAAGGGGTAGGTCACTCCGCACACCAATCTTGGGTCATCTTTTTTGTCAGTGTGCCTCAAGTGTGCAGCAGGTGTGTCGATTGTGCCGGTCATAGAGCAAGCTGCGCTTGTTTGTCAAATACCCATCCCGGTTACCCGGTATTTCTGACACCTTGAATGTTTTGGTTTGAAATCGCAAGGATAAATTGGATTGAAGATGAGGCGGGAAGTGAAGGTTTTGCGAAATTTTGGTGATTTGTGTTCTATAGGGTAATAAAAGTCCTGTGTTTGAGTGCTTTATAATGCCCTCAAAGGTAGACCAGAAGCTTAGCTTTTCGTGATGTGAAAAGCATCGGTCTATTAGCGGCCAGAAAGAGTAGGAATCGGTGGGGAGCGTTGTTGGAGACCGACTATAGAGGATGATGAATAGACTGCTTTAGTTTGTTTTGTGTGAGTTGCTGCATTATTTGAATTGACGGTACTAATGCGGTACTAACTGCCTCTTTCTCTTGAGCCCACTCTAGAACCTACATTTCATATTTAGATCTACAGCTTTGCCCCGAAGAACGCGTTACCCACTGAGTTCCATCCTCCGCTTTGTCTCGGTGGGTTTTCAACCAAGCGCTCTGATTTTCTGTGAGTGACTAGTTCTCCATTGGCACTACTCACATGCAAAAAATTACACCGCCTGGTTGAAACACCGCCGAGAAAAAGCGGTGGGTGCAACTCAGTGGGTAGCTCGTTCTTCGGAGGGCAGCTGTATAAGTGAACTGCTGGTCTGAGTTCCTCTGTTATAGGGGAATTTACGTATTCTCGGCAACCTAAGCAGCGACGTTCTTTCTATAGCCGTTTTCTCTAAGAAACGCACACGTATGCAGTATTGGTTTGTTTACAATCTTTTGCTGCCAGCTGCTCTAACAATTTCTTTCGAAAGAATTGTCAAAAACTGTTTTGAAACGCTTTTACAAAGCTCCAATCTTCTCTAGTGAGAGCGAGTATTGTCGGCAACCGTTCCATTTGGACTGCATGTAAATCTGCTGTTCTACTATCGGCAACTCGAAATCAGCTACAATTTGTAGTGCGTGTGTTGCATTTCAAGAAAACCTTGCTAGATTGCTTTTTCTCAGTGGTAAAAATATAGTCAAATTGAAGCTGAAAGCATAAAGAATCGTTTGCATGCATAAGCGAAGTGTTTTCGTAAGAAAATCCAGTGAAAATAGTGTTTCAATTTGGGTTGCCGAAAATAGTCTGTCATACCGAAGCCGTCATTTCCCCAACTCAATTAGAGGATGTTCCTGAAAATACATTCAAACAGCACGTAATGTTGTGAACAACTTCAAGGACAGTTGTGCAGTAGTGCTCTCATTTTATTTACAACAATTCAATGCCTACAAGATTGTGCCGAAGGTATATCGAAGGTGTACCGATGAATGTGCCCAAGTTGTGCCGGTTCTAATTTCGGCACAATGTGCTGAGTGACTTAAACCTTGAGTTTATCACTGTTAACCGAACGTTCAGCTGTTGAGATTTCGGTAAAATTTCACAGATTTCGGTAAAATAATCT